TCAAATACATAATTTGATTAAAACTTAAGTTCGTGTTTTAAGAGATTCATAATTACTAAAATTCAAGCTAAAATTTAAGCACAACAGTATCTTCGTGCTACAAAATCGACACATTTTGTTCTATTTATTTAAAAACTGGAAAACAATTGTCTTGAAATTTACTAAATATTTCACAATAATAGTTGTTTACATTTTTTCCGTAGGACAAGTCCGCCGCGTGCACACGGGGTGTGTATTAGCAGGTTAAGCGCTGTTGTCACATCGTGATGAAACTCCCCAATATTAATACTCGCTGTATTTTGAAAATTGTTCATCTTACGTCCCTGTAATATACTACTTTTTTGTTCATTTATGATTACTCTATCTCATGCTGAAGTAATGGCAGTCAAACCTCTTACACTTTGTATATTGAAAAAGTATTTTTTGATTGAAGAAAGGTTGCCCTTTAAAAAACAGGCACTTTTGTAATCCACTTTCATTCGGAGATAATAAAAATAATGTTAATAAAATACAAAACCTTTATGTTTTATTAATTTTTAAATACTAATACGATCGCTTCTGGATTGATATTTCATTTAGGATCCTAGTTGGTCACGTGGAAAGAATAATGCAATATTTTTAGTCCAATAGAAAGGTATTACATTTTCTAACGGTGAAGCTGAATATTTTTAGTGCCGATTCTGTGATTTCTGTAAAGTGATTTAAAAACAGTATTTTTGAGTCGAGTCCTTAATTGATTCATAATTATTCATTCTGTAATTATTGATTATTGGATTATTACATTCAGAAGCATTTAAATGGAAAAGGACTGGAAATGTTGTAGAACCTCTTCCCAATACACATACGCACTATTACATTACACCAACCCATTCATCCAAATCTTCCACGTATAACATAATTCGAAAGTGAAGCCAACACGTCAAAGTAAAAACAAAACAGCCGCAGATCCATCGCAGACAAAGACGAGCGGGGTCCTCACTTAAAAGGCTGGCATGGGGACAAACAAAAGAAGAGATAAGGTCGCCTTATATGCATTAGGTCGTCTTAAAGAGAGCTGTGTTTGTGGGAGGCGGGCGCTGAGGAAGGGCCGGGGGCGGGCTAACTTCATTACGGATCCATTTGATGGGATCGAGGGTGGATAAGACGTGCTCCGCGTCTTCCGTGGTCTCGACAGAGCCGGAGCTGCCTCTCCTCGCCACTATCGTCTATCTCATCGACGTTTCGGAAGTTGGCTTAACTAAGCTGCATCATAAATTAGAGATTAGTGCAGCTGCTGCCAGCGCCGGGTGCTGTTTCTTCTTATGCTGGCGATATTGCCACTGCGGATCGGTAAATGCGTTATACTGCGGTAAAATACAGGGCGTGGAAATAATATTTATGTTTTTTTTTTACTTATTTACTAAATTTGTTTACATCATATCTACATAAAAGATTACAGTATTCTAATACAGGGGTTTCAAATCCGCAAAACTTACTTAGCTAATTCAGGAGTGCCACAAGGGTCCAATTTTGGTCCTTTGCCATTATTTATTGCCATTATTATACCGGGTGGCCAAATGAAAACCAAACAGAGCCATTTTCAGGAACTGCGTCAAGATTGTAGAAAAACGCTCTTACAATTCTCTTTACAACAGACTTTAAATTTTATAATTCCGCCCAGTACTTATTAAGAATTTTGATTTTAAAGTCGAAACTTATGTACAAACAATTAGTAACGGTAAAAATGTCAGTCATTCGAGTTAAGTACGCCAATGGTATAAATTTAGTATTTCTTGCGTTACATTGGTTTTTGGCGATTTGTTATCACTTTCATAAAAAAACACAATTGTAAAAAACAGAAATTAATGCTATACACACACAATGAACGTAAAATTAGTGGATTTCAAATTATTTTCTAGCATTATTGGAAAGCGTTGGTTGGTAGTTCATTTAATTGTGTTTTTGAAAATTAAACACTATGGTTTATTCCATTGCGGAAAGGGATCGCTTTCTTCATGAACAATAAATGTGCAAGTTCATCTTGATTCTACATTAAGTACGAGGCATATGTGTCTGGGATCAATCGAACTAGCATACAAACCATTTTGAAAAAGAATAAATTCCATCCATACAAAATACATTTAGTCCAGGAACTTCATAAGGATAATTATGACCGCCGTTTGCAATTTTGCGAAATAATGAGTGAGTGAGCAGGGAACGATCCACAGTTCCTTTTTAACACCTGTTTTTCTGATGAAAGCAGTTTTTTGGATTTGGACCAACGTTCTCTACGGAATTGGATTGGGAGAAGAGGCAGTGGCCTCCACAATCACCGGATTTATCGCCCCTTGATTTCTTTTTGTGGGGATACCTAAAAAGTAAAATCTATAAAACATAGCCAGCGTCGTTGGAAGATTTGCGTCAAAGAATCGTCGTCGAATACCGTCGAATCACTCCGAAAATGCTTCGGAATGTGCGCAAACGTTTCGAACAAAATTTTTATTCTTGTATATTTTATTTCTGAAATATTAAGTGGCCTTGTCAGAAACACAAAAAATCTGTTTGGGTAAAATGTCCTTTTCGTATGAGATAAAAAATTTCATTAGAAAAACTCATATAGACTTACAATTTATTTCCATAATCCGAATATAGAAGCAATCAACCCTGTTTAGTAAGAGATCAGGAAAAGTTTAGAAATTATTTAGAATTAATTTACTAATGTCCCAATTCAATGATTCATCCAATCAAAAAATATCATATACCTACCAATTATCTTGTACGTGATATATTGATGGATATTTTAATTATTTCTAGTTTTTCTCAAAAAAATTGTTTCGTATCTTATCTATCATTCTTGCCATTCATATTTAGCAATTTCTGTATGAATAGTTTCTTCATGTAATGTTTGTTTTTTCCAATTAATAATAACTAATAATAATAAGAAATAATCTACACAATGTTCTATTTCAGTTAAAGCAATGTAAACAGAAAACAACGTTACTGATATCGATACTTGCATACCTTCCTTAGATGTAGCCTAATAAAGTTATGTGTATGTCCTATAATAAAGTTATAATGTTTGCATGAATTTGTCCTAGTGACCGGAGATACCTAATTTTCCAGTATGAGCCAGAACATGCCGTTCTCGTTTGTAATAGTCTACAATGTGTTTATGATGAAAGGAACAAATTTGTTTAAAATTCAGGTAATTATTTTGTGGAAAAACGCTCGGACACGTCGATTAGTAGTTTTAGTTGCGGATTTTTTGACATAAGAAAATTGTATACAGGGTGTCGCAAGAAGAACATACGCATGCCATTTTTGAATTGTACGGTAAATTCTGAACACATTTTGTATAACATACCATATTTCTAAAATTAGCGGTTTATAATAATGACGTTTGAAAATTGATATTTTGAAATACTCACAAGTAATTAAATAAAGTGTTTAAATTGAACAACCTTGAACATTTTTTTAAAAGCCATCAAAAACAACCTGATATGCCAAATTTTATGTAAACCAAAACAATTTTCCTCGTATCGTTTTTCATTCCTTAACATCTAGACAATTTTGATGTAGTATTTTGTGGCAATAAAAACCAAACTATCACCGACGTTTAGTTTATCAGTGTCATTTTATCAGTTTTACGTTTGGGGGTTGCTTTCGCTGTACAGCAAGAATAAAACGCTCTCTCAACGGTAATAATAAAGTATTTTATTGAAAACTAAGTTGTATCGAAAAAAACGTGTTGACGGGGTGAGTGTTTGTTTGAGAGTCCCCTGTGTGTGGAGTCGGTCGTAGGTATATGAGTAAGCATCTGGTCGCCGGCGCCAGTCCGCCATAGACCCTTCCTGAAACGCTGGTGCGTCCGGCGGCGTCCTGCTGGCGCTCTTGACGTAATGCTTAAACATGGGTCACTTGCGGCATGTGTACCCACACGTAAACAGACAAAACTGCAGGTACTGGGCAACTGAAAATCCTCGTTGGACACAAGTCTGTCACACACAGCATTGTAAAAAAAGAAATATTTGGGCAGGTATTGTCGAAAATCGAATTTTTGGACCTTATTTTCTTGAAGAAAATTTAAATGAACGTAGGTACTTAGTTTCTTCAATTTGAACTCAACCCCGCTTTAGCTGTTGTGTTTCCTAATCCACAAGATCCAGATATTCCTCATAGTGACATATGGTTCCAACACCTCCTCATTTTGCAATTGCTGTTCGACAATTTCATTACTTAACTTTCCCTAATAAAAGGATTGGACGCAGAGGTCCTATTGAGTGGCCACTAAGGTCATTGCGTTTAACCCCTTTAGATTTCTTCTTATGGGGTTATTTGAAATCTAAACTTTATGCGAATAGACCAAATAATCTTGACGACCTGAAACAGAGAATACGAAAGGAAATAAGACATTCCAGCAGAGATACCTAATTGAAAACGTTCAACGGGAAACAATCCTTCGACTACAAAAATGTATTGAAGTAAACGGACAAAACATTGGACATTTGTTATAAAGCAATTGTTATTTAAATAATGTATTATGATTAAACATTATTTTTCCCATTTATCACATTTCAAGAGTCATTATTACGAAAACCGCTGATTTTATAGATATGATATGTTATACAAAAAGTGTTCAGAATTTACTACTTATATAATTCAAAAATGGCATTATGTATAGGGTGCTCCATTAAAAAAAATCAATGATGACTGCACATATGTTCTTCTTGAGACACCCTGTTACAATTTTCTTATGTCAAAAAAATCCGCAACTAAAATTACTAATCGACGTGACCCAGCGTTTGTTCACAAAATAATTACTTGAATTTTAAACGAACTTGTTGCTTTCGTCATGAACGTACTGTATAAGTTTCCATCATAATTATACACCTACACTAAAAAGAAAATAGTAAATTTCCACTCAAAGCCATTTCTATAATATAATCCTCCACAAATAAAACAATTTTTGCTGCAGTCATAAAATTCAATATAAAGTTTTAAGTTTAACGCTTGTTTTCCAGGTGTGGTTCCAAAACAGGCGAGCCAAGTATCGCAAGCAAGAGAAGCAACTCCAGAAGGCGCTGGCCCCCAGTGTACTGCCTGGCTGCAATGGCGCCATGATGCGAAACATCTATCCGGGGGCGGCGAGGGGATACCAGCCCTACCCACACCCCACGGCCATCAATAGATACCCCCAGGTTAGTGTCTCGTAAGACTCCTTATTTCTTGTACCTTGTAAGAGTTTAAAACCAGAACGAAAGCATAAATTGACGAATATGGTAAGGCTTTAAGAATTATTATATCGACATAGAACATATTTTCTAGTTTTTCAAGTTTCAGTTTCAAGTTTTCTTTCTGATTTTTTTTAGTTTGTGTGACATTGAGATAACTAAAAAATAAAAAATCTATTCACAGCTTTATCTTCTATATCTTTTGTTACTGTTTAAACTGTGTTACTGTTAATTCGACGTTAATTAACTGTATTTTGATATTAATATGTTCTACTAACATGAAATTGGAATAATCATTTTGAGTGTCAAGTTGGGAGTAAGAAATAATATTGAGAATGAAGTCAATATACTTAAATACAAATAATTTATATTTTTCTTTAGTTTTGAAGCACTGGGGTATATCTAAAAACCAAAAAAACTTTTTAAACAACAGTTTTTCTCTGGAAAGTCAAAACTAGAGGCGACAAAGATGCTACAAAGAGGTATAAAGGCACGACTTTGATCTAGCCTATTCTGAATACTCTAAATTTGGAAGAATAGGTGTGATTAGATGTGTCGCGAAGGGAACGATGTTATTCAAAGGAGGGTGAATCGATAATGTGAAATTGGTGAATTGATAGAGTAGATACAGTAACTAAATGCTTGTTGATTTGAAAGAGTAAGCTTTAGACATGTCTATTTTGTGTTATATATAAAAAAAGACAGATCTTTTTCAAAATTATTGGCATGTTATTAAAGCTCACAAAGTAGCGAATTTTTGTGCACAATTAAGTCCAGTCGTTACCCCAACTTTTATCAGTCAACGTAAAATACTTTAAACAATATTTAAATAAACCTAATTTTTTATAATTTCAAAATAAAAAGTATTATGAAATTGATCAAAATTACAAACAGGAAAGAGGAAATTATTTTACAGTGGTGTAATTTTGCTTCTTTTATTAACTAAAACTATAAAAGTGAATTGGTTACATATGGTATTCTGAGCCTCATCAGCAATGGATCAGTGTAATTTAAAGTTTTACACAAATTCACAATCTACATACAGGATGTTCCACCTAAGAGGGACTCTACTGTAACTTTGCAACTGTAAAATTGATAAAGAAATGGTTTTAATAAAAGTTGCCTGGAATCATGTGGGCCATTTTTAGCTTTATAGGGTGTACCATTTCGCGTGTCCGCTACATAACTATTTAAATGGAACACCCTGTATATTACTGCATTTTTGAATTTCTTGGTTAATATTAGGTAGAGTTTATTAAATGTACATGGTGTTTAAAACTTGCCGTTTTCGAGATAATCAGTTGTTTTTGAAAAAAATCACGATTGAAAACCGTAAGAGTTAGAAATCTGCAGTTTACACAGTTCGTTTTGGCATAAATTACTATATCTTGTCATCTGTGAGTAAAACATGTACGTTAGTCATACTCGGAAATACTGAGATCTACATTTAATAATCTTACGAGTTCAAAAAACTTTTTTTTTCAAATGGAATGAACCATAATTGTCATGGGTAAATGCTAAATTGAATGCCCTTTCGACTGGTATAAGGTTGTCCATACTTATCTTTAACAGTTTTCCAGAAAAATCAGATTATTTTCTAAAGTTCGAAAAAGTAACAATGTAACAGCATCAGGAATGCCTTGAAAAACCACTTTTCTCACATTTTTCAGGCTTGGGACTGACAGTGTCAATACTTACTGGCATCTTTAGAACTTCCTTATGTGGACGATTTTCGAGAAAAAAGGCTTTTAATTAAACTCTTACAATATTACACTATAAAATAAGTGACTTTTCTCAAAGTAAGCTTGAGCTTTGAGAAGAGGAGATAGACATATAGTTCATATGACAAAAAATTCTTATTTTTTGTCGTCCTCACCCCCTGTATTTACGGGAGGTCTTTTTGAAACACCTCGTATTGTATATTTATATGGAATTTTGCTTCATACATGAAAATACCTTATTAGAAATTATAAATACATGTGCACATTTTTTACGAAATTGTTTTCATCATTTTTTGTCGGACTGACGATTTGCTGATATTTTTGTCAGACATTACAATTTTTGCTTATAAAAAACAGTTTTCTATCGTGTGTTAGTTTTGTCCGACATGTGGTACTCGATTTTTCATACTCTGTGAAAATTTCTATTTCCAGCTGTCGGACTGAAAAAACGCGGCTTGAAATTTGTCGGACAACAATACTTTTTGACTGAATTAATTATTTACAATTAATTTTACTAAAAATTAATAACCCTGTTATTTTGGCATGTTTCGACCTGTAGACACGTCAATGTCGGAAGAATTTCTGTCGGACAAATTTAAATCGGCATTTGCAACAAAATTTCCAGTTATTTAAGCTAAAAATAAAAGATGTGGTCTTGACTTTTCAAGACCCCGGGAAATTGCCATGTTTTTGGACCTTTCCGAGTGGAAAAGCGGAGGAATCGAGAAAAGTCGCAGAGAAAAAATGTGGTAGACTCGTCAAAACGAAGCTCCTCAGGAGTTATAAAGTATGTGGTAATCAACTTTCCAGAGAGGGCCTGTACTGTGGACTACAACTGATTGAATGACTGTCTAAAAAATGCCTCACACATTAAATTTTTTAAAGATCTTAGGAATCATTTTGAAAGGAAATCTTTGCTGTGAGGAATCGCCCAAAGTTCGTCGTAACGCCACTGTGTATAGCAAATATTCTCCTCTACACCTTGATAGTTGGTATTCTCCAAACTTGGCCTCCGTATTTCGTCGGCCCATCGGGTAATCCAGTTATTTGCATATCATTTACAGAGAACGTCCGTCGGCAAGCCGACGGCGTCGCGACGCCGAGCGTCGGGAAGGCCGCTCGCCGCCGTCGGATGATGAAACGGAGGAAGTGCGGTCTTAGGTAAACTAATCATTCAATCTGTTTGACCTCAGCTAATTCGTTTACCTGCAACGGTCTAATTACATATCTAGCGCGCCACGGATCCCCGATTTCAAGGTCGAGTATGTCTATTTGCATCTACGGACCCGTAATTCGATTAGTAGATGTTGCCGGAAGCTCGGTGTATAAATAGCCACGGGCTCTTTGAACTTTCGATATGCCTTATTGGCCAGATACTTGGAATCCGTTTTAATAGAACAAATCTTGATTTACTGTGATTGTATCGTTCCTGGGGCATTTAGGTACATTAGTTTTCATCTATTACGGGCAAAATGGCACATCATTAAGCGTCACTGGGTCGTACCTACAGTACTTTGACCCTCTGTATCCGCATTTAAAGTCATAATTCTAAGATCGGTTCATGTTTTGACCCTAACATCAAGACACTCCTCTACATAGCTTTATAATCCTATAACGCCATAACCCGAGATATGCAAGGGTGTACAACCATGATAACATGGATCTCATATATCTGGGGTTCGACTCTACATGACTGTGAGTTGGCAGGTTCCCATAACCCTATAAGTCAATAATTCCATAATCCCATAACCATGAAACTTTGAAGATTTAAGTCCTGTTGTAACTCTGTAATACCTTAAACTGATGCATGCAAACTCCTGCAGACCCAATCTGCGGCATCCAGATGCATACATCTGGATGTAACATATTACAAAGTTAGCAGGGTTTTTTCTCTTTGTATCTATATTGAAAAGAGCGTAATAGTACTTCCTTGACTGTTCAGGGTGTCTCAAACTTGATAGTATGGGCCTACTGTGAGGTATAACAAATTTAAATAAAATTTAGAACACGTGGTATTAATGGGATAAAGTCCATTTTCAATCATCTTTGGGATTTGACAAACACGACTAATAACATCATCAATTATATTTTTTCCTGAAACACCCAAATTTTTTTCCTGGTTCAAAGCTCTCCTTTTTCTAATAAACTTTTATTAGAGAAATTTGTCTGTACTTATTACTTCCCGTTCAAAAGTTATAAGCAATGTCGTCGTAAAGAGTCTCAAAAGAAATACTGCCTAAAAATCACGTTAGCGGTGGAAGGATTAAGTAGTCGTTGGAAAATAATTGAATGTCCGTTGTTTGAAGTGCATAAATGTCACTAAGAATAAATAAAAGGATTAAACTCGATAATTCTTTAATACGGTTAAAACAAAAGGTGATGATAACAATAATAGACCAGACGGGATCTGTTTTGGTGTAGATGTTTTATATAGTATCGCTAATTTTTGCTTTAATGGCTCCAAAATGATATAACAAAACATAATTTCACTATACGCGCGCTTCAAAACGTGTGCTAAACTTATTATTAAACAAATAGTGAAAAAATTGGAAACATTTTTTTTCAACAGTTCAAAAACTATTCATTTTAGAGAAAAATTGAATAGGAAAAAAGATTCGAAATTAAATTTTACACAAGATATACATATTTTCAAATAAAAAATATAACATAATTACTGCAAATATAGCAAAAACAACAAAAAAAAAAGTGAAAAGAAATGACATTTTTGCAATTTTTTTTAAAAGTACTTATATTATAGGTATAAGATCTTCATACTTGGCCCCAAAAAGAATCTTTTTGGTATAATAAAACATCACACCAATTTTCGTTAAAATCGGTCCGATAGTTTTCGAGTAGGTAATAATTTTGCAATCCAGATTTTTGAAAAAAAATTGAAATTTTTGTAAATTTAACCAAGCCTAAATTAAGACTTCTAGATACTTGACAATTTCATCACATATAAAAGAGCACTCAAACTTTAAAATGTGTCCAGAAAAATTTAAATCCATTAATTAGGAGAGCCGTGGTAATTGTTTAAAGATATGCGTAAATTTTGCGCTTATAAACAAATAGAATAACTTTATAAATTCATTATAATTATTTTTTTAATTATGCTTTTAAAGTTCTCGGAAAGATGCTTCTTCTTCTTAAAAAAAAACGTGGTGATTAGTTAATTGGTTCCAGAGTTATAGTCGATCAAAGTTGACCGGCATTTGTGGCGTAACTACGAGGGAAGTCTGGAGGGCTGTTTTTTAAACAAATACCTTTCTCATTCCGTGTACTCTCCGGGAGTGAATTTGCAAAACTTGCGCCCTTGTGCAACCCATATAAAATGTCGATTAAAACTGTTGGACAGAGCATGAAATTCACGAAAAATTTATGGGGGGTAGTGTGGGGGGAGTCGAGAGCTCGGCTACTCCGGCCGACTCGAAATTGAAATCGCGCGTTCAAAATAGCGGCGCGCTTAAAAATTTTGATTATCTCGGTTTCTAGTGGTCCGATTTTGATGTTTTTTTTTAATTATAAAAGAGATAAAGTAAAAGTTTTTTTTTCTTTTCAGATGAGTACGAGCTCATATCCAGGAATGGCACAGTCGTTCTCAATGTCCCACGGTACAAATATGAGCACAGTGGCTGGTATGAGACAGGATGCAATGAGTAAGATATTTACTATATTTTAAATTTAATAAATGGCAAATATGTATATACTGTTAGTGTAGTTTGTATTGTTGACGCAAAAACATGAACTATTTGCGATTCTTATGTAGGCACATGTCCATTAAAATAAAAAAGTTTTACAATATATATGGAAAAGAAAATTTTATCGATATAAAAGAAACATTGAAATTGTTTCTGTATTAATTTTGAGTTGTTACTTGACGACTAGGGCTGTCAGAGAGAACCGCAATTCAATGGCGTGCCAAGCGGTTCAACCGAGACATGCGTGAGCAGCTGCCTCAGATTGCTTTTCACGTTCATGTCACGTGAATATACTATTCTCTTTGTTATTGTGCGGATGTTGAGTAATTAATTCCTATCCGTTGGTGTTTATGGTGGTGCATTGTAGACAATTTAATTTGTTACTTTTTAATAAATAATGCCTACGCCTATGTCCCGCGGCTCAGTTCTGACAGCTTAATGATGACTCGCTACTGAAAAATGAAAATAAAATCGCTACTGACAAGATCCGATAAAAGATACTTAGAAAAAGTATCCAGAATTTATTTATAGACTCACATACGAAACTTCAATTCTTCTTCTTCTTCTTCTTTTTTGGCCTTCACCCAGAGGGTATTTAGCCAGAAAGCTTCAATTGTAAACATTGAATCTACTTTTTTTGTCAATATCTCGTTCTCTCCAACATTTGTGTGATTTTATTTTTAAAATTACTTTCCAATATTTTTAACCTACAGAACATTATTTAAAAACTATTTTATTTCAAAATTCATTAAACTTTGCAATATTTTTTTAAAATTTTGAGCAGCAAAAAATGTTTTCCATATGTACTTATTAACGAATACTATGTAACATTTTTTATACATAGCTAGTTGGGTAGGGAAATACATTATTTTAAATATTTTCTTCAGAATTTACATGCCTTTCTTCGTCTTTGATTTATTCTTAATCAAACCTCTTGCATTCATGCATGTTTGGCAGAAAGGCTCAAGAAGTAATTTGCAGAGGGAATAAGAAATCAGGCAACTAGAAGGCTTTAAAAAGTTCAGGTTAGCAGGAAATGACGTAGTTTCCGTGCCGATGCACTAAGATTACGGACGACGCCTCCAAGACATTCTATTTCCGTTCTAGGATGCAATCTTGAGATTTTGGTCAGGGCGCAAATAAATATATATAGAGTAAAACCTGAAGTAACTCACGTATCTAATTCCGTCACTTACACTCGTAATTCATAATTTCCCAAGCGAAACACGCATTCGTTTAATTCAACAATTTATTGCTCTCTTAATGAAATTTAATATTAAACATTGATCGAAAACATTTAAACAAAATTTAAATTTTTACTTTTAATATCATTATCGAGTTTCCAAAGTCTAGTCATTCTTAAAGTATTTAGAAATATACATATCAACATGTTGATCCGTTAAATTCGCTCATATACGACAATCCTGTTTATTAATAGATTGGATACTATAACGCTCACACACTGGGATAACTCAAATGTAAAAATAATGTATGTTACCCACTTGCAAGCATATGACACGAAAGAAATCGCCTATGCTGAAGACTGATAAATCGAGAAATAAAACTATGCAGCGCTAGTCGTTCCTATTTTTGTACAAGCTGTCTAAGCACTTGATCAAACACTGTGTTTCAAATAGGATTGTAGGCTTTTTAAAATCAGTTTAAAGAAAAACGTACAAAATTACACGAAAATTACACTCCACTTCTCTTTTCAGGTATGAGTGCAGAGGACGAATGGTACAACAAAAGTCTATCGGCCCTGAGGATGAACTCCACCCACCACCCAAACTTAGCAGCCCCGATGCTGCAATACCAGACGTAATAGCAAACCGCCCAGTTCAACTTGAATATGGAACCGACCTGTATTGTAAAAAATTTGAGTAACTGAATTTGTTTTCGGTACCGGACGAAACTGAACGATTCGTTTCGATTTGTTCTGTCGAACAATGAGCCATATGTGGTGGTGAATGTGGCTTCTCTGTATATTGTTAGGTCTTTCAGTTCTTCGGGTTCCCGCATTCGGATGATGAAACGCGAAATGAGCGAAACGTTGCCGTAGGCGCCATTACGTTTGTTTGTAAATTGTGTGTTAGTAAAGATTTTTCCTGTAATAGTAAATACATTTGGAAATATGCTGAGAGAACAGAACGACAAAATGAGCTCTTATACTTTTGGATGGTAAACTGACAGTAAAATTAAATAATCTTCAACAATTTTCTACTCGTTCTATTACTACATATTTAAAAAAAAGCTCCTCAGGTCACCACTCCGATACGAGAGTAAAATAATATTTTCATAAATGTAAAACATATTGTGGCCACTGATTATATTGCTACTATTTAATAGAAACTAATTCTTTCTGAGATTATTATTTTATAAGTATAGTTATTTTTTTTTTGAAGCATAGTAGATTCATTTTTTATGAGGGTAGTAAGTAAAGTCTATATATCTAAAAATATTAGACATATTTTGTGTATTTACTGTTACAAATTTATGATTGTTGAAAGTTATTTTATACATGTACTCAATCTTTCGATACTCTTTACCCACTAATTGTATATCATAGAATCTACTTACAAGAGTTTTGATATTAACTTAGATAATAGCAAAACTAGTGTAAAATAATAAATTGTAGTTATAAAAATATTACATGTGCCATATTTATTGTAATTGCATTTCGTGTGATTGTAATTTAGATCTATGAATTATATGTAAATTGTAAATAATAATGATAATACATATACATATAAAGAAAAGTTTGTTTTTTGATGATTCGGACTGAAGGCAATATTCCTAAAAATTAATTTTAGGAAAGTTATATATTCGTATTAGTTTGAAAATATGTATTTCTTCAAATACGCGTAGGTAGAGGTATATATTTTTGCTTCCAAACTTATATGTAATTCGCTGTATGGAAATATTCCAAGTTGCAAAAGGTCAACCAAGATTGGTAAGATAAAGTACAATTTACCCGATAGCTGTTCATATCCTTACTACCACTACCACTGGTTAAATATATAAATATAAAATAAACATTAAAGGAGCACTAAAAATAAATCAGAAATTTCATTTAAAGAGAGGTATTCAAAATAAGGAAAAAGTCCTAGAAAAAAAATTTTCGTTTTAAAAATTCTGAAAATGACAATTTATTATCATATAATAAGTATTCAGGCCTTAAAAATGCAGAATATTCTCTTCTTTTTTAATACTTTACACTATCCTAAGCCTAACGTTGCAACAGCGGAGTTATTTAACTGTCAAATGTTCTTTTTGTACAATAGAACTGTTAACAAATCGCTTACTAGTATAAATTATGGGAACACGCTGTATATTATATTAGAAATATTATTCTGGGACACATCTGTACAATCGTGAACGTAGGTTCCATAGGCAACCAGGCATACACTTCATTGATTTTGATGATAAAAATAGCTTTTATATACATAACCTTAAATTTGTAGCAATGTCAAAAGAAGTCAAATAATCTTTCACAAATTACTGAACTATTGTTTATATGGGGAAATAATTTATCAATCATCCTTGGAGTAGAAATGTAAGAACGATAACATTTACATTTTAAATTCATTGTAAACATAATGCACAGGTCAAGATTATTGATAAATCTTTCAAAGAAAGTAAGTTTATATAACTGCTTAAAGTTCATGTAATTCTTTATGTTTATCTAAATTAATAGGACTTGCCATGGTACAGACACAAATCAAACATAGAATCTCTAAAAGAACGCATCGCTAGTGGCCCCTCCCTTCAGGATTTCATAAATGACCCGAATCCGGTGCTGAAAGATGACCCGGAGACATGGAAGGAGTATGATGGGAAACTTAAGAGGGAAAAAGGCGAGGACCAAAGATTACGCCTTCCTCCTTGGTTGAAACGAACCATTCCAACAGGGAAAAACTACAGCCGAGTGAAAGAACAGTTACGAAAACTTAACTTGCATACAGTGTGTGAAGAAGCGAGGTGTCCAAATATTGGGGAGTGCTGGGGAGGTGGAGAACATGGAACTGCAACAGCGACAATCATGGTATGTCAAACCTAGGGTTAGTAATCCATATTACAATCGCTGATGAATTTTTTAAATTTCTTTCATATTTTTTATTTAAAACTTAATGAAATATAGAAAGTATATGCTCAAAACAAAGTGAGAAGTAAGAATAATCTTAGGTAAATTAAGTATAATCAATTAAAATTAAATAATTTTTATGATAAATTTTCTTCTATTTTACTTTTGTTAAATTCTTTTTTATATTTAAGCTTAACTAAATTGAAGTACGGTCCTGTCTTTCACTGATTAAAGCTGATCTTTGTCAAAACGGAGAAAGGCTAAAGAATATTTGTATTTTTGGTAGATCGTTACCGATTATTCATTTGCAGTTATTAGGGGATACGTGTACAAGAGGCTGCCGATTTTGTTCAGTTAAAACATCCAGGACTCCTCCACCCCCTGATCCTAATGAGCCCATAAATACAGCAACGGCCATTGCATCGTGGGGTCTGGATTATATTGTATTAACATCTGTTGATAGAGATGGTAAGAAGTTTTTACGCTTTAATTTAATTTTCAGTAATTATTTGTAATTACAGACTTACCTGATGGAGGTTCAAACCACTTTGCAGAAACGGTTAGGGAGATTAAAAGACAGTAAGTTGTAAATACCGCTTAGAGTGATTTTAAGATTTAAAATAACTTATTTTTTTTAGAAATAAAGACATATTAGTGGAATGTTTAGTTCCAGACTTTAGAGGTAATTTAGAACAAGTTAAAACTATAGTTAACTGTGGATTGGATGTATATGCACACAACATTGAGACAGTAGAGGCACTCACACCGTTCGTCAGAGACAGAAGAGCAAAGTACAGGTATTTGACTATAATAACCCCTTAATTTTTTATGAACATTTTATTGATGCTCCTTAGACAGTCTTTAAGTACTTTGGAAGGCGCCAAACAATTCAAGCCCGAGCTTATAACAAAATCTTCGATAATGCTGGGACTGGGGGAAACTGACCAAGAAGTGGAACAAACTCTGACAGACCTTCGCAGCGCTGGTGTAGACTGCGTAACACTGGGGCAGTATATGCAACCTACTAAAAGACATCTGAAAGTTGTAGAGTACGTAACTCCAGAAAAATTCCTACATTGGGAGAAGATTGGAAACCAAATGGGCTTCCTGTACGTCGCTAGTGGTCCTTTAGTTAGAAGTTCCTATAAAGCGGGTGAATTCTTCATAGCGAGCATACTGAAGAATCGTAAAACGAGTGTAGCTTGATCTCATTTTGGCATTTTTAGTGTTCGTTAAAATTTATCTCTGTAAATTGTTGGGTCGTTTTAAAAATAAATTTCTTGAAATGAATTGCAAATTGTATTCGTTCCTTTAAAATTTTACAGTCGTGAAACCTGTGATCCCTAAATTGAACTGCACAAACCTGTTTTATTAAAATTTATTAAATCAACTGATGTTTGAAAAAAGTTGTGTTAGGTCAGAAAGTATAATATACAGGGTGTTAAAATTGTTTTATTTTTCTGTCTGTGACGTTTATAAAATTAAATTTTTCTTAAAGTTACAGCCTGAGAGTAGGATGCGCAGTGGCAAAGTAGTGGAGTGCAGAACGGAGCCCGTATAATTTACCTGCTGCCTTCGTAACCGTCTGATTATATTTCAAGTGCCCTCTTTTTTGATTTGCGTATTGCAGAGCTAAAGTGAATCCTGTCCAGTTTTTTGTGTCCACACTAGTTTTCAACGAAACAGTACTGCAAACTTATTCTACAAAATCGTGTAGATTACGATTGGCCAGCTTCAAACATACCAGGAGGTACAAGCAAAAATTTTATATCTAAAATATTCAGATATTAAATTTTTCACCTCAAATTTTAAATTTCGCCGAGTAAATCCCCGTTATATGGATGCTGGGAAGGAAAGCAGAGGGGAAAAGGTAATAATTTCAAATCAAAGAATTATAAATATGGAATCATTATTATTTAAATACAGTAAAACTAATCTACTCATATTTGCCTTACATACTAAAGAGTTTTTATGTAAAGTAATTAAAATAAGATAAAAATAAACAAATGTGAAACATAAATATAAATTCTACGATCAATAAATATTCTTAACTATTAATATATTTGTAAAAAGTATCATTGGAGAAGCGCAGACTGAATCCGCAGAGACGAAATCAACTGCTACAGATTATCCTTGACAAACTTACAAAACTACAAGATTTATACACACTTATCCACGCCGATGCATGCAATTTACCTAATCTAGTAAAAACAAATTACTAACTTTCAATAAAAAATTATTTATCTAACTTATTGTTATCTATTTACATAATTGTCGCTATACGAAATATAGTTCATGCCCCTTTCATCGGATTATGATTATGTACATCATTTTTTTCTTATATCGGGTTTATAAAATATTACTCATGTCTGATTAAATATCGACCCTTTCTAATTCCTGCAAATGTGGGTTCGATCGATAAGTCTGCTTAATATTTAAAATTACATGCGAGGAATTTTCATTGTTTGGATATACAAGCCATTCTCTATAAGAAAGTGGGATAAATATATACAGTAGAGAAGTAACTTCCCGAATATTTTCTTTGTATGTAATATAGAATATCTACAAACTAACATTTTACTTAAGATAACTCAGTGGAACGGGTTTCTTTTAGATTCAAGATGAACAGCTAGAAGTAGAAATTAAAATTATAGCTCAAAACCTCAGATTTATTTACTACTATCGTATGGAACACCCTGTATGTGAACAATTGATTTAATTAAAAATATTTCTAACAATCCAATATAAAAACAAATGTTAAAGTGGAATATAGTTCACTGCCACACTTCCATACCTTTTTATCGGTAAATTCTACAATACTCAAAAAAATGTCCCGCCTAAGTTGAATTAAATAAGATTACTATTAAAACATCTAACCTTACGACATACTCCTATTTTTAATTTATCAGTGCCATTATATAAATAATTTATATGTATTATACTTTGTCTTTATCCAGTTCTGTTTGATAAACTTTGTTGATTATCGCATACACAGTACAGCCCATTAAGAACCGGGACATCACTCTAAACCTGTTTCAGAACACATGGTAGTCTTTTAAATGTACCAATTATGATGATCTAGTTGTATTCCATGGCCTACTACTGTATTTTTAAGTGATTTTTTCAGAAAATTACTTTCACGATTTTTTTTTGTAATAATTTGGCTATGTAGCCTTAATTAGTATTACAGAAAAATTCCTTGGTGACCTTCTGAAAAATGACTTCTAAAAAAATCGCGGTAGGCCATTGAATTAACAACTGATCATCATAACTGGTTCAACAAGTACATCTAGAAGGCTACACTGATAAAAAACATCGTTTGAATTGTATGTCCCAAAAAGATTTAGAGGGACGTCCTTCTAATAATTGGCCATACTCTTTTTTGTCTATAAAAAGCAGTACAAAGCTTTTTCTACACTTATTGCCTGTAGGTGTTGGTGTATCTCCTATATAAACCTTAAAATAATATGCACATGCACAACAATAGCTAATGTAGTTCTTATTAGTTCAGAATAAATATTTTTTTCAACTTAAAGTGTACTTTTAACAGTTTGGAAAATTATTTCTACTAATTCTCCGCAAATGTTCATCCTATGGCAATTCAGACTGTGTAAACGTGATTATGCCTGCTTTAACACCCTTAAGTTACAAACGTAAAAAATACATAAATATATACAAGTATTTATTTAAAAACTAAAGATTATTAAAAATTGCAGGTATAACAAATCTACTTGACGAAAATAATCCGCTACTAAATATAGCGATCATAAAGTCATAATAAAACAAACTCAACTGAAGACAGAAAATCATCATTTCGCAACCTGGGCCACTTTTCCATTTTTAATTTCTTTCTTTGAACCAGGAGTGGGTGACAAACAGATAACGTCATTGTCGTTGTTGTCGTCATTTTCACTTTTAATTTCTGAATTGTCTTCCGGTAGGGGACCGTTGTCTTTTTCCCACTCTTTAAGGATGCTATCGAGATTGTATCGTTTGCGGTAATTTACGAAGAAGGTGCCAATGTGACACGCGGTCTTGTTACCGATTAGTTCAGCGATGGTTTTGAAGTCTTTCCCATACTTACGCACTCCTTGAACGGCTAGCAACAGTTCCTCGTTCGTCCAACGGCCGTTGAACTTGGAGTTATTACCATTTCCTGGACGGAGGTCTTCTATAGAGTCAGAGTGCTTTCGCTTCAAGGAACTGATATTCTGCTTGTTTTGCTGTATCTGGAACAAAGAATGTATTATTGATAACAGATTCCCAAAAGTTTCAAGCCTGTTTCACATTTACTAATTTTTTCCACAATCCTTATTTTCAAATGAGCTTATGAAAGGCTTAGGCGTATCTCAGCGTTCCTAATGCAGTTCATAAATAAAGATGGAATGACATACGTGGCTGATAAACTCATCAGAATAATATATTCTTCAAGAAACTGTCACAATTCACTGTTTTTGGCTTCTTTTCAGACTTTAAATTCATTGGTCACTGATAAGTCAAATTTAAGGCTAACAGATTTTAGAATAAATAGCAAACCACAAATCATAATACTTAGGCAGACACGTATAAGTAACATATTTGTCACTAAAAAATTACATGCAGCAAAATATCCTGCACAATTTCTTGATTAATTTATTGCATTAAAAAATGGTAAATGTATAAGAGGTTTTAAAACTAATGTGTATAGCATATCTAATAAAAAAAACAAGTACTTAATAAAGTGACAACCAATTTTAAAAGTTATAATGTAATTAAAATTACTGCAATAGAAATTTAAATTAATTTACTGAATAAAATGTTTAATGCGTACAACTTTATACACGAATATACATATTTCGCTATTTTGTAAATTTATTGACTGCGGTATTATATCAATCAATGTGTTGATTAGTTAAAGATATAATAGAATCATTAAATCACAATATAAAACTTAAAGATATACGATTTTTTTAATCTCTTTTAAAACACCCTGAAAAAGTATGAAACACAACAAAACCGAAGAAATTCCTTGTAGAGTAGTCAGTTCTGAGCATATGTAACTATTTAGATGACGAAAGTTACACTACGATAACAATTTTTCAACTGTTAAGCCCTTGAAAGTGCATTGCTCATTATTATGGATCTAATAATCAAAAACAACCATTTTCAAATAACTAGTGCCAAACATATTCCCTTTTACCAATAAGCTGACGAGACAACTAGTTCTATCACACAACCACAAATACATCGTGGAATTACCTACAACCTAGTCAACGTGGCAAGCATAAAACAGGTGAATATTCAACTGGCAGAACAAACTCAACATTCACACAGAAAGCATAAAAGACACAGTTTTAGTGTGGAGAAATGCAAAGCGTTGGATAGGTTGGATACAGTTACTTTATTCGAGACAGCAGTCACAAAGATTGCGTTAATCATTCCTGAAGCATGAGCATGGCATAGTACGAGATCAGGATTGGCAGACTTAGAAAAATGCATATTACTTCACAGTAACAAGTTATAAAAAAGATGACCTCCGAAAAAATATTACTTTTGGCAATACAATACACAAAATACCGCTGTCTCATAAAGTCACTGAGGGGTCGGAAAGGGAAGGTACTCACTTGTCTTTGCAGGGAATCTAACTCTCGATCCATAGCTTTAAGCATGACGACACCAGTATTTCCCGATGCCATGGCTGCAAGATCGTCGTGGTTGATGTACATGCCACGGGGAGGCTTGCGTTTATGACGTGCCCCCAAGGGTGTACCGCGTTTGCCACCCGTCGGACCCGAAGTGGGCCTCAACATCCCAGTTCGTCTACATACCAACATCATGTCAGAATTTGTTAGGTTAAGGGATGTTTCAAATACATACATTCAGGATTTTAGGCTCGCAGAAAAATGTGTATAATAACTCGGAATATTAAAATAATATAAAAAATGACTGATGTAATTTGTTAAAATTTAAACAACAATAATAAACTATTTAACTTGATGAATTAAAATGCCAAACCCTGAACATACGCATAGGACTTTCTCAGTTACAAGTCAGTGGAGAAATTTTGTTATATTGCGGTACTGAATTAATTCACAATTAAAAACATGGCACAAAGCGAAAACTAAATATTCCCACAAATCGGTAATATCGCAAAGCGGTGCAAATTGAAATATAATTTAATGCAGTATTTATTCAATATTATTAACGAAAAGTAAAATATATTTCCATTTTAGTAAATGTAAATGTAATAATCAAACAAGTAACTTATTCGTCTTTACAAGGTGTTAAAACTTTTCAGGTTTATATCTCAAAAATAAAAAAAGATATCTAAGTTTGTGAGGTTTACAATTACTTCAATTTTGAGCAGTAAACAACCAAAATTTTGGAAAAAGATCCATTTGAAAAATCATTAAATGCTGAGCAGCTTTTTTAGCTTCAGAATTTGAATGTATATTTTTATAAGAACAAAAATAAGTTTCCTCAAAATTAATATCGGGTTATAGATTCTTGCAATTATTTCCATATTAAGTTGTATTGGGTACTTTTTTCAGCATCTTGTTTGACCAGAAGCTATTAAGTTTTCAATTTTTTTTTAATGATATATCTACTTTCTCTCTTTTTAAATAGTAGAATCTCAATTATCTTTGTAACGCTTCAATTCAAATAGGTGAAATTGTAGTAAAACACAATTCCTATTCAAACATGCCAGAATAGACGTGGAAACTATAGCAGATTGGAGATAATCCAGATTTCGTCGTCCCCATTTCAAAAGATGCCATAATAGCTGTAATATTCGTACAAATGTAGTGTTTTAATCACGTAGTCCACAAAATTATAAGCGAATATAAATCACAGTTAAATCATGATAAAACTTCATTGGGGACTGTGCCTATTTATTCATTTGAAATAACAATTTTCTATATCTTAGATAAGTGAGAAAGAATAATTTAACGAAAAAATAAATAACTTTCAGCCAAGTTAATGTGAAAAATGTTTCAAAACATCTAACCAATTAATTTAAAAAATGTTATAACTATTTCAGGTTCAAATATCTCGGAAACTAATAGTTTTTAAAAAACTTTGGTTGTTAAAAAATTTTTTCAGAATTTAGTGTTCCTTTTTCTGTCATCGATAAATTTCTTTAAATCGTACATTGTCAAAACGTAGAATTTACATCATTAATCTGTACTACATAACAATTTTTACAGAACTTAGATATCTCCTTTGTATTCCTAGATATCTGCCTAGGAAATTTTAAGCATCAACCTAATTCACTAGCAAGAAAGTAATAAATGTGAATAAAAAAATTAAAGTATAGTAATACTTCATTAAGACAACCCCTGCTGTAAGTTTGTAATTTGATCGTGTTTCATTCAACAGGTACCTAATCCTGTAACATCCCTTGGAATAAATCATCCACTGATTGAAACTAATAGAAAGTCATCACAAAACCCTCCTTCACGGTCTAGAACTAAGTGGAATACATACCTCCAGTGTTGGTAGCAGGAGTTACAGAGGGCCCCCTTGGCAGTCACCTGAGTGACAGTACAGATGACTCCGCAGTTAGAACACGCGCCACCCTCACCCTGCACACACATACAACAATCATACCGATCATATCCAGGCACTGTTATGGGTAGGGAATGAGCAATGGCATATTCGAGGTATGCTTGGCTATGCGTGAGTGCATTTCAGGTAATATGATGATACAAGAAAGGTTTGTGCCAAAATGAGACGGGGGAGCGGCGGGGATGCGCATGCTTTAAATGTTAGTAGCCACAAAAGGACACTTTCTGATGGTAAAATTATATCGCTCGATTAATGTTTTATATGTGAATATAAAACGCTGATGAAATATCAAATTTAAACCACGTCTTGTCTCAAAATTAGGAGTATATAAACGAAACGGGAGAAAAATTTTGCATCACGGAGTGTTTTATCGGCTGAAATAACAGATCAATATGAATATATATAGCAACATCTATTTATTAGTAGTGATTATTCTTATTTAGTTTTGGTTCTGCTTATAGATATTTTATACCAATAAACAGTTCAATTTTCCACTGGCTTCAGAATTAGCAAGGGCCTAAAACGTTTCAATCTCAAAAGACAAAATTATTTAACATTAAGAATCTTGTACAGGTTTAGATGAATCCAAGATACCTTTGTGCCTCAAATTTTTTTGTAAAATGCTGGATTCACAGGTTTAAGTCCAAAACCATGACAAAGTTAGGAGGTCCTCAGTAGCAGATTATTAAGAAGGAAAATGTAGAACTATTACAGATATATTATTAAGGAATGAATGAATCTATTCATCTGACTTCATTTTTTCATTCAAACAATTACTATTTTTTTAGGGATTTAAATATGAATGGTGCACAAAACTGTTGATCGGAAAATTGGTTCCATTTTCCATTTTTGAAGATCATAGAGCCTTAGCAATAATTTTACAAAAAAAAAAATCTAATTCTAATATTTTTTTGTTTGTTTTGACAAAAATCAGGCCCAAAAATTTGTTGCAACGTCACTGTATTGCACCCTGTAAATACATAAGTAGAGGAAACCAATTTTATCCTGAATTTAAAAATTTATATCCATCTTTTTTTATTACCAACGTAACTCAAAGATAAAATTTAAATTCAAGGTACATTGCAGTAAAATTGAGCAAATATTGAAACTATTAATTATGAACCACTGTTTCCTAGTTTCACCGTAATCATCATATTATAAAGAATTTATTGTACACAGTACTGTCATCAGATAGTGCCCCTTATGCAGTGCTGCACGAAGCACCCAATAAAAAATTCCCTCAATATGACCTTAAAAGTTTATATAAAATTTGTACAACAGTTAGCATGATAAATATTTATTTGCCATAAAAGCAGAACACTGATACAAAAAGTGTTGTATAAATTTCTGGCAATTTAACACCATATTGATATATCTGTTCATGCTAGTACTGCAACTAAATAAGAACAAGTAAAATCACATCTAAATTATTTCGCAGAAATAGCCAAGGATATAACGGTGTTGATGAAAGCTGTAGAATGAAATGGTCTGCTAGAACGTGCAATGATTTTTTAGGTCAGTCTACCTGAGAAGCGTTCTCGTCGCTGGGGGGCCCAGAACGAGTCGGAGAGCCGCTTTTACGCCGAATACCACGATGAATTGTCCATTTCTGCAAGATCAATTGTTTACTCCACAATTGATATTCATTAACGGAAGAAAATGTACACTCTAGTGAGCTAAAGGCTCGTGAACCCATTTTACTTTATAACGATATTGTCAATCACTAGACACTGTAGTTTCAAAAGTGATGTAAATCACTAATCCCTTCCAAAGAAGTAAAACAAAAACCCTGTGCGACTTAATTACCATATTATTGTTCAAATGTAGACGAAGTAGATGGACAAAAAAAAACATAAGAAACCGATAATTTTAAGTCTGGACCAATTGTAGAATAAAATAGCTAACACAAATCCTTTTTAAATAATTTTTTTTCCATTGCATTTATCTCTTGTAAATTATAAGGGACCTCTTACTCACCTTTTATAAATAATACCTTAAAGACAATTATAACACAAATATTAATGAAACATTGTGTGGTTTTCAGAGTCGATATTATAAAACTAAAAGTGTAAGTGTAGAGACGTCGAATTTATGTTTAGTATAAGATTATTGTATAATTATGGAAAATTAAGTTTATTCCGATTGTAATAAAACATTTCCAAGAACGCATTCAATTTCCTTTATCAGATTAATTTTTAAAATGTCTTAAATGTATCAAATTACATGCAGCAATCACACAAATTACATCAATAATAAGAGTTTGCTCTAGAGTATGTTCTTATCCAGGAATGTCTCTGTGAATTTGTTACAGTTTTGTTTCTTATTCTGAAAAAAAAACTGTTTTCTTTGAGGTATTGTCACATTTTATTCAACTTTTAATAAAAGTTTGCAACATTATTACACATTGTTGCGAAACCATCAGTTTTTTAAACATTTTGAATGCTATTAATTCCGAAAAAGAAAATAAAAATAGTAGTACGCGTAATTTTTCCTTCAATTATTATAATTAATATCATATCCGTTATATTTTAATGTTAATGCCAAGTAAAGCTATTTTCATTTTTTTGGATTCAAACTTATAGAAAATATTAAGTTAAAGAAACACTCCTGCTTTAATAAGGATAATTTTTAAATATATAAAGTCTCTTCTTTCAGTGTGGTAAAATATTCATTTAAATAAAAAAAGTAGTCAAAAATGTCAGTAATAAAAACTAAAATTAAACAATATATCTTAAGAAATAATAATGATTATTATGAAACATTTACATTTAATTTTTTTCTTGTCAATATAAATTATATTAAAAAATATATATATTTGTTTTACCTCTTTGTAGAAACGGACAAGTGGTGTCATCAATTATTTCAAACACATTTTTTTGAAAATATTAAAAGGTTCCAAAACATTTTGCTCACTATGTAAATAAATTTGATACTATTCTTTCGTTCTCTTCTATTTTCGATAACTTGTACTGAATGTAATTAACTGAGTTGTTTTTAATACAAATTTTTTTAAAAAATTTAAATGAGCAACTTCAAAAAGGAATATATATAACACAATTATACAATGAATTTCGTTGTTATTCCATAATAATAGCCTGATGTTCATTTTTTCAAACTCTACAATTTTAACAGCACTTTACTGCAAATAATTTTATCAAGCAATAAGAACTTCTCATGCCAATATCAAAACACCAACCAACAATACTCATGCACAACTGAATTCAACAGAAGATTCTTAAATTGTACAAAATACTTACCTTATCGTCATGATCTGATTCCTCGTTAGAACCAGCTTCAGATCCGGCTTCCGATGCAGCCCCTTCTTCTTTCGGGGTGTTTAGTTTACGTGCCTGCTTGTCCATCAGGCTTGTGCGAGATCTTGTTTTCTTCCAACTGTAATAATATTTTACCAAACTGGCGATACTTTTATCAGGCAACTACAAAATTAAATATCGGTGAAACAAAAGAAATTAAAAAAAAAGAGTATAACATACCATCTGGCGTATTCTGTGAAAACTTTTTCCATGAAATTGAAACGCCTGTTCAAATAATACTTTATCTTCAACAGACCACTCATCTGGGAAGGGTGTAAAATTTGCAAGATCAAGCATAGCTCTCTCCAAATCATGTTTGTGCCAAAATAACATTCCAAGAGCTTGTTCTCCATTATATCCATATTTGTCTTTAGCTAATACAATGTAATCTTCCACTAAAACATTCGCATACATGAGATATAGAAGGAATAGTAGAATGATACAAAAACTTACACTTTGACTCGGGAATAGTTTCTGTTGGTGACCATACCAGAAGTGCTCTATCTGCTAAAAGCTCGGGCTTCCTTTGGCTTTCTGGTTGTAATTCAGGGCAAACTGCTTGATAATCACGTCCTACCCGGATTTTATCTACCGGAACTGCAAAGAAACATTGAAGGCATGCAGATATGTCACATAAAAATTTGAAATTGAATCTCATATAATTTTACTGAGGAGAAAAACATTGTCTTTAATTTACGTATATTTTGTATTTTAGGTTACCCAATGAGCAACAAACGCTTACCACTGCTTTCATCCTCGCTCGTGGACTCCGCTTGTACGTGACCATTTGGACTCGGCCCCCTGCTCCTTCTACCATTTCGAGCATTTTCATTATTTTTTTCCGCAAGCACCATGGTACTGCTAACTAACTAATTTTGTATGTAAAATTAAATAAAACCAACTAGGAACACTAAAAATCAAGCTTTATGATTCACACACTGCCAGCTTACTTTAAACAGTATAAAAACTAAATTTTCGTCATCAAACCTCCGTAGTTTTTGCAAAAATTCAAGATTTTGCCGCAAGGTGCGACACTTTCGTTAAGCTTCTTTCTTCTTTCATTCCCCCACCATACACTCGGGATTTCCATTTACCCTCTCCCTAATATCGTACATCACGTAAACATAAATCCAAATTTCTAACCTAATTGTTCTGATTAGCATTGCACTGCTAGATGACCGTTTTAATTGAGTTTTAGATTTGTATATCAAATTTTGAACGTTAATGGTCACGCAAAATGTCACATTCATTTGTGAATTTCATTATAAAAAGGTCTCTATCAACAACAACTGTACGACATGGTAAACGAAACTTTAGAAAATTTCCAATTTATAATAAAAGGGGTAGCCGAAACTTTAAACTCCAACAATCGGAAAATCCTGATCCTGATGTACCAGTTCATAGTAGGAATGTTAAATAACAGGTTTACAATTTTTATTAAGCTGCTCATCTTTTTAGAACGAGGTGTGAGAGATGTTGCATATAAGGATGGCGACAAATTGATTTTAATCCCAGAAAAAATTCCAGAACTGGTAGTTCCAGATCTTACTGATTTTAAGGTAATCAACAAAGATATATAATACAATGGAAATTAAATATATTTTGTATTTATCTGTTTTATTAATTTTCAATTGTAGTTAAAGCCTTATGTATCATACAGAGCTCCAGATGTTGTACAGTCACAATTTACAGCTGAAGATCTTTTTAATGTGGTCTATGCACCAAAGATTTTAAAAGATTTTGAAAATGGTAAACTAGACGATAATGGTCAACCTCTGGAACCATCTGCGGATGAAAAAATGACTGCGGAAGAAGCTAAACTTAAGGCCAGACAAACAGGTTCAGATATATTTTAATTATTTTATTTATTAGTAGATATGTAGTTAATAAAATTTTTAAAATTATTTTTTGCACTCATTTTGCCTTAAAAACGATCCCAATAACTGAGGCCATCTCTTCGCTACTCCGAACAATTGTTTTCAGTTGAAAAAGTATTCTTACTGTTTTTAAGACTTAATGTATCATATGGGAATTGCTAATATTTTAAGTTTAATCAATTTTAAATATTAATAATTACCCATATACTCCACCTTTTTAAGAAATTAAATCGGAGTACATATTTTAAATTAGAAAAAAAGAAAAATTAAAATTGTAGTAATCACTGAGGAAAAATCATCATTTTTACTGTATACAGGGTGTGTCATTTAACACTCCAGCTGCCAATATCTCCGAAATGAAGAAATTTATTTTAGTTTTGGGAAGTAGGGTTGTTAGGTCCCTCGAATAGCTTCAAACTATAGTTAGAACTGTTGGTTCAAATCTTTCGGTATAGATAGCGTAGCGATACTAAAAAATTTTTTGATCCACGGAACGTGGAAATGCAGTCCATCGGAAAGATCATTAAATTTTGAGTAATTTTTGTAATATAAAGTTTTTCCCAATGTTCACTTATTAAAAAGTATTATCAGACTTGCAATGAAAAATTCCTAACGTGTAAAATTCTACTACATGCAAAATTTGGTACAACTAGATAAATTATTTCCCATTTTTCATAACAGTATTATTTTTACAGAGTAAATATGTGTTAAAGTTCAAATTCACCTTTTTTTAAAAAAAAATAAGTACTGTAATTATTTTATCTTTATTTATTTTTAATATAGCTTGATGGATACATTTAAATAAATCAATAATATGGTTTGAGGTATGGTGGGCTAAAAGTAACACAAACCATTTCAAGAAACATATTTTACCACACTCAAAAATGTAACTACATACAGATGTTCATACTCATTTTTTTTGTTATTTTTGTATAGAAAGTTTCTTGTATATATATATATATAAGGTTCCAAA